TTGATAGTTTGTTTATCTGTAATATACTATTTTTTATTTGCATAGGATGTAGACAGTTAATAATCTCATCTGCCAGCAAAATTAATAACTTTCAGGATGATAGTTTTTTTTAATCGTTGTCAACTGTCAGGCGTTCAGTCATAAGAGCACATAAATCAGAATATGAAAGTACCGTGCCTGCAGCAGCAGTAATAAAAACACCATTTACAGGATATTGAAGTTATTTTCATCACAAAATTGAAGGGTGATGAAGCTTGTTTTAACATTTCATAAAAATACACTGTATAAGGTTCTAAAGACATTTTATTCTGGGTAAAGTAACAATGGAACCCTGTCGACTTTGGTGCTCTTGTGAAATAGGTGTCCTAATGTGGTATTGGGGGAAAAAAACAAAACAAAGAAAAATGAAACAAAAAAAACAAAAAACGGGCGTTTTGTAAGTTCTGTCTTAAAGAAGTTACTTTCTTTATAAATACAAAAAATAAAATCAAGTTACTTTCAAAATTTCTTCTATCCTTTTTGACAGAGAAATTGTTGACAGAGAGATCGTTTTGTTTACAGTTACAAATTCTAAAACAAAATTGAAATAGTGATTTGATTTTGTGATATAGCTATTCGTCTCTGAAAAGGAAATTTTGTAAAAAATAATTTTAAAAAAGTTTGTAAAACTGTAAAAAATAAAAGCACGCAGAAACCTTGAACAGTTAAACATCAAGAAATTGATTGTCATAAAAAAAAATCAACCCCCCATCCCCCTTCAACTTCTCAGGGCACAAGAAAATGCAGCACATAAATAAAATCCAACACAAAATGCAAATCAGTTAACGATAAAATTGATCTCTTTCCCATTTAAATCGGCTTTAGTCGGTGTATTATTCGTTCATCCATTTTCTAATATAAAACCAAGTGCTGAGTGTGCACTGCAGCCTGAGAGCCTGATCACACTATTTGTGCAGAGATTCAGAGATTTCAAATCCTTTTTTGTCATGGGTTTAGGATTCAAGCCCATATGCAGAACACCACCGGAGACTGGGTAAAAAGTTCACAGAGTTTATTAAAAACAAGAACTGGGTTCAGGAAACAGGACCGGGCAGGATTCTCAGGCGTCTTGACAAGGTTCAGGCTTTCTTCTCTGAGAGAGGGAACCGGTTGGGTCCAGAGACTGTTGGTTCAGCAGAGTGCTCAGCAGCAGCGTCTAGCTTCTGGCTAGTGGGCCTCAAACGTGGGTTTGGTTCATAGCTCTTCCCTGAGAGCTGAGGAAGGAATCCAGACTGAGATCTTCAGGTTTCAACTTCCTAGCTCTCCCCTGAGAGCTGAAGGAGGAATCCAGACTAAGACCTTCAGGTTTG